GGATTCAGTGACACCTGTAAATAGTATAAATTTCTGATTCAATATATCTTTTACCAGAAATCATAATTACCCCTTTCTGTTGTTTAATAATTATCAGTGTTCATAGCAAAAATACATATTTTCATTTATTTATCTTACAACACATCCTATTATCCTCAGGTGTGAATAAAAATGTTATTCTAAGTATTTCATAAAGTGGTTGACTTCATTTTCTTCTAAAATTTCTGAAAATCCTACATTTTTCAATAGGCCTCCAGTTCTGGCTCTCAGTTGCGCCATGACTTGGCCTGGAGTATAGAACGCCATGGTGACTGGTCGAGGTAGAATGGCTGTTTCCCTTACAAAACACCACCCTATCCCCCACAATCTAATGGAATTGTAGTGGATTGTCACCATTATGTAGGGGTGATGCTATATATATTTATCTTTTGACTAGGAAAGGCGTGATTAAGGAAAGCAAAGACGCTGGAGGTTACTATCCAATGTGGCGTGCACAATGCAATTTATATTTGACGTAGAATAGCACATAATATTGAACTCACTCCACTGGACCAGCTAGCGGATGCAGCTGACAGAATTTTCTCTCAGCCCACTGTCAGCGAAAACTCGATGGAGCCAGCCGAAAACCGAACTCTGCTACAACTAGAAAAAAAGATCAACGACTTACAGCGGCAAATCCGAGACCTGTCGGTAAGGACAAACCGACGGGGAACCGGACAACCCGAAAGAAATAGAAGGCGCTCACAAAGTAGGCATCACAGAGTAGGAATAACATTATGCTGGTACCACCAACATTTTGGAGACCGCGCACATCACCATGTTTACGCAGACCGGACACGGGAAACGACCACGCCAGCAAGTAAGAGCGGCACCTCCTATAGTATAAAATACAAAACAGAATGTAATGAGTCAAACATAACAATTGAATTTATTAGTGTTTGGTGTACATTCATTTAAGCTGAAGGTTTGATAGAGTTATGTCTCTTAGATTTGGAAATATTTGTACTTGAGCTCATAAAGTGATTGAATTATTAAACTGTAGTTTAGAAGAATAAAGTTCCTTTAGCATGTAAGGAATTGTGAATTGGTAAAGTTGGTAAGAGTTCAGAAGAGATTTTAGAGTTCGTATTTGCGTGAAATGGTAATGTTCTTTAACGTCTGACCGCATGGTCAAGCGGGAGCTCTTGAAGATTACATCTTGGCAGCAAGGAGACAGATGAATGAAAAACGAAGAGAACACGAGGGAGCTTATTCGTGTTTTGTTTATATATGGCTGTGTATCACGTGGGAGGTTCAGAAGCTTGTGCGCGGGAAAACAGATTTGTCGCGTGCAGGCGCTTTGGTTGGTCGGAACTGACCAATCAGCGAGCTAGTTTTTAGTAGATTAACCAATGAATGCTTGTCGCATGATTTCTATATACTGTGTGTATGTAATGGTGGTGGTGTGATTCTACAGGATTGCGAAAAGAATGGTACAGATAGTAAAATGGGATTGAAGGTACTATAGACAGTTACTTACCACCAAGGTTACTGCTTAGTTATAGGATGATTCCATATGCAGACAGATTGCAAAGCCCAGCTGCATTAATGGGATCGAAATAAGATCTCCATTAACAATGTCTTACTCGACAAATGAAAGTGTTTATTATTTTTGCTGTCAATTATCAAGAACAAAGAAAATGTATAAATTCGCTTTCATATGTTTAGCTTTTATTACGATTCTAATCATTGCTTTTTAAAACAATAAATATTGCTGAGGAGTGAAGGTAGTTAAAATAAAAGCGGTGTCATGCGAAAAACCGTCCTTTTGTCACTCCGTGTTACTCTTATAGCAGGCACGTTTTATCCAGGTTTACCCATTTTTACTTGTAAAAACTGAACGGACTTTTTAGCCAATCTGAAATATCTGTCGGATTTGTCGTGTCCAATAGACGAGAATTTTAAGATTCAAATTTGATACATCATTCCTTATCATTGATATTTGCAGTTTTATGAACAGTTGATTTAGGTAACACGTTCTAAATGAAAGACAATAGCCTTTTTCTGTGTTTTTATTTTTAAATAAAGTTTATCAGCAATTATATGCCATCCCCGAGAAAAAAATAATACTGGCCTTCTAGAAGCTTTTATTTATTTATTTGTATTTTTTGCAGTACAAGCATACACACGCCTATACAGAAAAATTATGTCGTGAAACAAAAATGTATTTACGCAATAAATTACTTTTATCTGCTGTGAGTTCACTTGTTTGTTTTGTCATAAAACCTGGTTAACTACAAGTCAAGGTCGCGTTTTAATTTATGTTTTATTGTATGTTTAATAAGACATGGTATTCAGCAAATGACGATAGCAATCCTGGTGCGTTGATATCTATGTCAGTTGGGTATCAGAGATCTTATTTAAATGTTTGTTATAAGCAGATACCAAATCTTCAGTTACTTGTTGAATTACTGGACATACCAGTATCAAAATTCAGATTAGTATCGTTACTCCACGAAAGAATTTCCGATATTTATTTATTTATTTGCCGTATCGGACTCGATAAGTGATAACATTCTTCCTTTTTAACAAGAATTCCTCTTCTTCACGGGGCAGAGGTTTTTCATGCGTATCTTTTACAGCGCGTGTAAGTAATGTCTACTTTCTAGTTTCACTTGTAATATACAGTGATAATAATATTGATGCTTGCAGTTAAAATCCTGTGATCATCTTCTTCCTAGTGGTTCTGAATATTAGAAAACACATCACGACTTCTACAGTTGATAGCTATCATCTTTCTTTTTCTTTCTTTTTATTAATTGTTCACCTAATACAATTCCCACACCAAGAGCTACTGAATGACGTTACTGAATGAGGTTGATGCATGTAATAGGAGGAGGTGTGGCGAACTTCCACCACATTTATTTAATTTTGATTAGGAAACCAAACTGATGAGAAGAAAGGACAAGGTAAAGGTATCATTATATATAAAAATTGTATTCAACAATGTATACAATAAAGTGTTGCGGATATGTGATGTGTGTTGGAGAGGAATAGAAGGTTTGAATTATCAGAAGGCTTAAAATTGTGTGTGTTCAATAATCTTCCATCCACAACAATTAATTAATACAAGACAGAGAATAATGATTCATAAACATCTTGTTTTAAAACGTAACAATTGAATTTATGAATATTTGATATACATGCATGAATACTGTGTGAAAAGGTTAGACAGAGTTGTGTCTCTTAGACTAGGTAATATTTGTACCTAAGTTCATAAAGTGAAAGTAATTATTAAACTATAGTCTAGGAAGGATAAAGTTTCTTTAGCATGTTTGGAATTGTGTCTTGTACAAGTTGGTAAAAGTTTAGAAGAGATTTCAGAGTTCGTACTTGCGTGAATGTTGATAATGGTCTTTAACGTCTGACCGCAAAGGTTAAGACGGGAGTTCTTAAAGATTACATCTTGGCAGCAAGGAATGAGACGCGAGAGAGAAAGAGGGAGTTTTACACGTGTTTTGTTTTTATAATTTTGTTGTACCACGTGACAGGCTCAGATGGAAAACGCGGAAAAACAGATTTGTCGCGTGCAAGCTAGAATGAATGCTTGTTATATATTTGTAAGATTGTGATGCTGAAAATTACAACAGGAATAGTGTATTTTCTAGCAGGGGCTAACTGGCTGCTGTTGAAGATTCCACAAAAGAATGTGTAAGAAAAAACATACAATGAGTAAGACGAGAGCTGTCTCTCTTTGACTGTCATTGTATATCAAAGTTCTCTGAAAAGAAAGAGTTAATAGTTTGTTATAAATGTTTGATGGAATAGTCTATACATACCTTTTCACCCCTCCGGAATAATACACTCTACTACAAAATTACCTATTAAGTTAACCAATCAACATCCTAATTCCAGTGAACTAGACTTTTCATTGGCTCAAACTGTAGCAAATTCACGCGAAATATCTTTTCGCGCCTAGCCGTTTTGAGCTGATTCCTACTTCCAGAACTAAATAAAAGGAAGCGTTCAGATCGATTCAAGCAGTCAGAATTTCGTCCTGGAGAAGTGCCAAACGAATCCACGCCAGTCAAAATCATAACCAGCAACATTTTTGCCGCGCAAATTTCTCTGACTCAACACACGCAGCATTTCTCTCTACCAGGAACAATTTCTTACAATACTAAAATGTGACAATAACTCACTACTAACAAGTATTCGTAAATATTCAATCAAATATCGAAACAATCCAATGTAAACAACTCTGGAGAATTTAGACAATTAAACTCCTACTTTATTCACGCATACAAACTACACAAATTTCTATATAAATAATATTTTCCACTTAATTCTGTTTGACCAGTTCTTAAACACTTGAACAAATCAATAAGAAACCCAATTTACCAATGGTCAATTTCTTGCATTTATCAAACTACAAGTTTTCAAATTGTATATTAATTGTACATAAATGCATGTTGTTTTATTGAAATCTCATAAACGATGTTTCTTACTCAATTGCTTTGTGATTGATTCGTTTTTGAATGTCTATATTCTATATTGTTGTGGATTGATATGGTGAATATGCCCGTAAACTAACCATCTTAATATAAAAACCTTCTGATAACAAATTCAAACTCATAGCAATCCCAACAAAATTAGCAACCCCGACGTTTATAACAACAAAAAGATTGGTGACCACAACGTTTCCAACAAAAAAAAATGGTGATACCAACGTTTATAACAGCAACAAAATTGATGACCTCGTCGTTCAAGTTAACAGTACCTACAAATTGATAATTCCGACGTTTATCGCAACAAGTTTAATAACCTAGCAACTAAATTTGCTGACTACCAACGTTTACATCTATATCAACGTAATCGGTGATTACCAACTTTCAAGTCTACTCCGACCGTGAAAGAGGAAACAGAAAAGGCGCGAAAAATTTTCGTTTTCACTCCAAAAATTACAGTAATTCAACATGGCTGATCCAGTTCCCCAGACTGAAACTGCAGTAAGACTAGAAATGTCTGCATACAATTCAAACGCTCAAACGTGGTTCATACAGCTCGATGCGATATTTCAAGCCCGCCATATCACATCACAGCAGTCAAAGTTTGCCTTCGTTGTGGAAAAGTTACCTGCAGAGGTGGCTGCAGAAGTAGCAGATATTCTCACAAGCTTTCCGACTAACAAGCCTTACGAAGTACTCAGGCAAGCCATATTACACCGCACAGGTTGCTCTGAGGAGCGTAGAATTAAGGACCTTCTAACTAACTTAACTTTAGGGACTAACAAACCGTCCCAACTCTTGCGCCGAATGCAATCTTTAGTCGGCAGCAATACCATTTCCGACACTGTCTTTAAGCAAATGTGGCTCGACAAACTACAACCTGACGTTGTGCGAATATTAGCCGCGCTCACAGATGAGGTTGACATACAAAAGTTAGCAACGATTGCCGACAAGATATCAGACACCACACCTACTCGGCAAGTCTCCTCCATAAGCCCGTCAGACGACCTTACTCCGGATTTCAGTCAGAGATTACAACTTCTGACATCAGAAATACAGAAGCTCTCTCTCCGGCTTGACGAAATTCAAAATAGACCTACAAGAAGTCGGAGCAATTCAATTGCCCGGCACCATAACCGTAGGCCGCGTTCAGCGTCGCGTCGCACCCGTCGAAGTCAACATGGTAATTGCTGGTACCATGAGGTGTTTGGCGCGCGCTCTAGGAAGTGTCAGCCGCATTGTGCTTTCCGAAACACATTCCCAACAGACGTACAGGGAAATGGCCTGCCTGGCAACCATTAGAGGCGTTGGCTGCCAGGGTTGACAATAGAAATCGTCTTTTCTACATTCGTGACCGGAATAGCAACCTTGATTTTTTAGTCGACACCGGTGCAAAATCAGCGTTGTACCGTTCAAAAATTGCGACAAGTCAACGTTATCACCCAAGGAGGCTCTATTGAAATTACAGGCTGCTAACGGCACATCAATTAGCATATAAGGTGAGCGAGTAATGTCACTCAACATCGGACTACGACGAGAATTTGTTTGGACCTTTACAGTCGCCGATGTTGAAATGCCAATCTTAGGCGCGGATTTCTTAGCACATTTTGACCTTTCTGTTGATCTATCTTCGCGTACGCTCACTGATGCGCGTACGAATCTACAACGCCGCAGATTGATATCAAGGCACCATACTATCGGTTTAACAACTGTAGTACCTAAAGCGAATGGCTACGAAAAATTCCCACAGAAATACGAATCGTTGTTTTCGCCTTTTACGTATGCTGAGCCTATCAGGCATAATGTCACTCATACCATAAAGACGACTGGACCCCGAGTTCATGCCCAACCGCGTCGTCTACATCCTAACAAGTTGCGGGTAGCGAAGGACGAGTTTAACAATATGCTCAAGCTGGGCATAATCAGACCATCCTCCAGTCCTTACGCTACACCGCTCCACATGGTCCCAAAGCCGATGCTCAGAGCTGGCGTCCGTGCGGGGATTACAGGCGACTAAACGCCCAAACCATCCCGGATAAATATCCAATCCCCCACATTAAAGATTTTGCCCTATCACTAGAAGGCGCCACGGACTTCACCAAGCAGTACCTACGGAAGGCATTTTACCAAATTCCTATCGAGAAGTCAGATATTCCGAAGACAGCAGTAACAACTCCCTTTGGCGTATATGAATTTACCAGAATGACATTCGGTTTGCGCAACTCAGCTCAGTCGTTTCAAAGGCTCATTGACGAAGTCCTCCACGGACTATCCTATACTTATGCCTATATTGACGACGTATTAATGGCCAGCAAAACGCATGAAGAACATTACGACCACCTTCAAACAGTTTTTCAACGTTTACAACATTACGGTTTGAAATTGAACATTGAGAAATGCGTATTTGCTGTCCCTAGCTTAACTTTTCTTGGTCACGTAATTGACAAACATGGGTTAACTCCCTTGGACCAGAAAGTTAAAGCAATTACGGATTTTCCAACACCTTCCACCCTACGTCAACTCAGAAGATTCTTGGGAATGGTTAATTACTACCGTAAATTTATCAATAATTGTGCTACCATATTACTACCTCTAACGAATCTCTTGTCGAAACATAAGAAAAAGAGCCCAAAAATTACTTTGTCTTCAGATGAGATAGATTCTTTCAATGCCGCTAAACAATCTTTACAAAACTGTGTTAAATTGTCTTACATAACATCCTCGGATGACGCGAAACTGACTCTCACCGCTGACGCATCGTCTAACACAGCAGGTGCAGTCCTTCACCAAGTCGTCGATGGGATTGAGAGACTGCTGTCATTCTTTTCTCGCAAACTAAATTCAGCACAGATGAAGTATAGCACCTTCTCACGTGAATTGTTGGCAGTGTACCTGGCCATCAGGCATTATCGTCATATACTATAAGGTCGCGACTTCACGATATTTACCGACCACAAGCCATTGACGTATGCTCTACACGCCAAATCCGAGAAGTATAATCCTCGTGACATTCGTTATATGGACTATATCGGGCAATTTACCTCGGATATTCGCTACATCAAGGGCAACAGCAACACCGTGGCCGATGCGTTATCTCGTACAACTCTCAATACCATTCAACCTGCTACACTGAATGTTGACTCTTTAGCAGACGAACAGCTAAATGACGAAACATTCTCAGCCGTCCAATCCGATACTTCCTTACAGATCGAGAAAAGACCACTTCCATTTACGGATAAATCTGTATGTTGTGACGTCAGCACGGGCAATCCACGTCCTTAGTTACCGCCAGCAATGCGACGTCCAGTTTTTGATCACTTCCACTTCCAATTCCTACCCTGTTGCTAAGGCAACGTTGCGGACCGTATCGGACAGATTCGTCTGGCCCGGTATGACAACTGATATTAAACAGTGGTCCCGCACGCGCTTACGTTGCCAAGCAACCAAGGTAGGCAGACACACCAAGGCGCCTGCATTAACTTTTCCCAACCCTGATAGACGATTCACCCACCTGCACGCGGATTTGATCGGTCCACTGGAGCGTGTAGACGGATATGAATACATACTCACCATCGTAGATCGCTTCACGCGCTGGCCAGTCGCAATACCTCTTACATCGATTACAGCCGAAGCAGTAGCTAGCGCAATCTTTAATAATTGGATTACCATATTCGGATACCCTTCAGTAATTACCACTGATAGGGGTCCACAATTCCAGTCCACATTGTTCCGCGAATTCACAAATTTAGTGTGAATTAAGCATATATCCACCACGGCTTATCTCCCTTGTGCCAACGGACTAGTGGAAAGATTCCACAGACAGCTCAAATGTGCGCTCAGGGCATCTACAAGCGGCCGCACATGGGTTGTAAAACTACCTTTCGTTATGCTCGCCTTGCGTAACACTATCAAACAGGATCTAAAATGCACCAGTGCAGAACTAGTTTTCGGCACACCTTTAACTTTGCCCCGACAGATTTTCAGCAATACCACCGACGTTCTCCCTTCCAGTAATTTCGTCAGTGACCTCAAGCAAAAAATGACTGACGTCAACACGGGAATACCAGAAACCTTATTATGTTCCTGCAGACCTGCACCACGCAGAATATGTTTTCCTCCGCAAAGATACGGTCCGTAAGCCTATCACACCCAGTTATACTGGATCATACCCTGTCATTTCGCGCACGTCAAAGTACTTCGTCATCGACCTTGCGGGTAAACATAATACGGTCAGTATTGACCAGCTGAAACCTGCATATATCCAACATGATGGAAAGTCTTTGGACACTCCATTCGTCACATTCAGAGCCTTCCAGCACACAATCATTTCCAGCATCTGACTTGGAAGCAACTCCATTTACCCGTACCAGGTCGGTTAGGCAAGTTCATTGGCCTGCTAAGTTCAAGACGTATTTCACATATTAATAACCATAATGCTATGACTATTAATCTGGTGGGTATTGATGGAATAGTCCATACATACCTTTTCACCCCTCCGGAATAATACACTCTACTACAAAATTACCTATTAAGTTAACCAATCAACACCCTAGTTCCAGTGAACTAAACTTTTCATTGGCTCAAACTGTAGCAAGTTCAAGCAAAATATCTTTTCGCGCCTAGCCGTTTTGAGCTGATTCCTACTTCCAGAACTAAATAAAAGGAAGCGCTCAGATCGATTCAAGCAGTCAGAATTTCGTCCTGGAGAAGTGCCAAACGAATCTACGCCAGTCAAAATCATAACCAGCTACATTTTTGCCGCGCAAATTTCTCTAACTCAACACACGCAGCATTTCTCTCTACCAGGAACAATTTCTTACAATACTAAAATGTGACAATAACTCACTACTAACAAGTATTCGTAAATATTCAATCAAATATCGAAACAATCCAAGGTAAACAAGAATTTAGACAATTAAACTCCTACCTTATTTACACATTCAAACTACACAAATTTCTATATAAATAATATTTTCCACTTAACTCTGTTTGACCAGTTCTTAAACACTTGAACAAATTTGAACTGTAAATCAATAAGAAACCCAATTTACCAATGGTCAATTTCTTGCATTATCAAACTACAAGTTTTCAAATTGTATATTAATTGTACATAAATGCATGTTGTTTTATTGAAATCTCATAATCGGTGTTTCTTACTCAATTGCTTTGTGATTGATTCGTTTTTGAATGTCTATATTCTATATTGTTGTGGATTGATATGGTGAACATGCCCATTAAACTAACCATCTTAATATAAAAACCTTCTGATAACAAATTCAAACTCATAGCAATCCCAACATGTTTTTTAACAGTTTTGCTGTACAAGAGGAAAAATTATGTAAGTGTTGAGTGAGAAGATCGGCGCTTCAACTGTCGTGGACTTCTGTGGCAGCTGAAGTCTCACTGGTGTGTCTACTGTTTTTTCTTGCTTTTATAGGTGATCATTGGATCAGAAGTGCTGCGCGGGAAGAATCACTCTTCACGTGCAGACACTCCGATTGGTCGACACTGGCCAATCAGTGAATGAGCGTTGGGGAGATTTCTGGGAGCCGATTCTCCCAAAAGTGCACAAAATCTACTATACGAAAATATAGCGATTTCAAAATTGTCGCATAAGACAATAGCGTTGATTTCTATCCAATGAATGATTGCTATTGAAATTTGAATTTGTATAGGTATGTATGTGTGTGTGATGATGATGATCGCTATAGCGGAATAGATAAGAAGTACATTTTATGAGGATATGTAGGAAAGATAACGGTTAACTTGAAACTTGAAGAGGTTAAGAATGTTGAGACCGAAGAAGCATCTCGCGGGTCTGTTCTATAAACAGGATTCTTGGAAAGAAGCTCTCCGAATGGAATTTCCTTCTTACTAACGTAATACGAGGGGAATGGGTATGATTATTTCCAATTCACATGGTATAGCAGCTCTTAACTGTGAAAGTCAGAACTGGTGAAACGAAGAAATGTAGCTCGCCAGAACATTTGCCATAGAAATAGCGATAGTTTACTTATCTGATAGAAAGATAAACTGACCATTACAAAACAAATTCAATGGTTAATGTAAACATACTGTAGTTACTTGCACAAGCTCAGAAACTACATAACTTTGTTTCGACTGAAGTTTGCGCACAAGTTTTTGTGGTAAATTTTCATTTTAACACCCAAGCGTCATTTACTGATGAATTATTTTCTTTCAGAAATTAGTACGCGCTTCCGTAAAGCGATTTTTTTTGTACTTAATTTAAGAAAAAAGTTAACTTTCAAATATATGTAAACATCGACAAATAAAAGAATAAC